TGATTTATTTTCAGTAATTAATTTTCTATGTGCTTTTTTGGAGGGGGAGAACACATGTGTGTTTTCTGTTTGTTTGTAGATATAAATTATTTCTACACATTTATTCAACTGTTTCATTTAACAAAGCCCTTATGCGCTGAAATGCCCTGCATAGTGACATTTTGTCCAGCTTGAGTAGTCATAGCAATCAGAACAAGCTGCTAAAAGTATGTCTAGGTGTTACCTCCATAGAGGAAGTCGTGCTCTCTAAGGCGGTGTGTCCAGCTTCGGTGCCTGAGTTACGATCTTGAGCATCCAATATACAAAATAGAGAAAGAGACATTTCTGGCTCGGATTCTCTGAACTGTCCTCTAGAAGCTTTGCTAAATGTAAAGGGAACATAGGTTCCTAACAAAAGCATCTGTGTTTGTTTTCTGAAAACAAACACAGAATCACAGAATGGTTGAGGTTGGAAGGGACCTCAGGAGATATCTAGTCCAACCCCCCTGCTCAAGCAGCAACACCTAGAGCATGTTGCACAAGATTGTGTCCAGATGGCTTTTGAATATCTGCAAGGAGACTCCACTACCTCTCTGGGCCACCTGCTCCAGTGCTCTGTCACCCTCACAGGAAAGAAGTTTTTCCTCAAGCTCAGACGGAACTTCCTGTGGTTCAGTTTGTGCCTGTTGCCTCTTGTCCTGTTGCTGGGCACCACGGAAAAGAGTCTGGACTCATCCTCTTGACACCCCCCCTTCACATACTTGTAGACATTGATGAGATCGCCTCTCAGTCTTCTCTTCTCCAGACTGAACAGGCCCAGCGCTCTCAGCCTTTCCTCAGAGGAGAGATGCTCCAGTCCCCTCATCATCTTCGCAGCCCTCTGGACTCTCTCTGGTAGTGCCTTGTCTCTGTTGTACTGGGGAGCCCAGAACTGGACACAGTACTCCAGGTGAGGCCTCCCCAGGGCTGAGGAGAGGGGCAGGATCACCTCCCTCCACCTGCTGGCAACACGCTGCCTAACGCACCCCAGGATCCCATTGGCCTTCTTGGCCACAAGGGCACACTGCTGCCTCATGCTCAACTTGTTGTCCACCAGGACTCCCAGCTCTGCAGAGCTGCTTTCCAGCAGGTCATCCTCCAGCCTGTCCTGCTGCATGGGGTTATTCCTCCCCAGGGGCAAGACCTTGCACTTGCCTTTGTGGAACTTCATGAGGTTCCTCTCCGCCCAGCTCTCCAGCCTGTCCAGGTCCCTCTGAATGGCAGCACAGCCCTCTGGTGTATCAGCCACTCCTCCCAGTTTTGTACTGAACAGTTAGACTACCTTCTGCACAACACCTAAAATTGCAGAAAGGAAGTTCCTCCTTGGCTCAAATTGGTCTAACCACAGTGTTAAATGATTGGGTGTAAACTTACTCTCCACTGTACTTTTTGCTGGAGTTAGGATTTCACATGTAACGTGCATCTCTCACAAACCCTTTTGTCTTCAGAAGAGCAAATCCGAGATGATAAAGTAATGTGGCAGGGAGGAGCGAAGTAAACCAGCTCCATCAAACAGATTAGGGTTATTTTATACAAAATAAATATCAGTTTTTGCAAGGACTGCTTTCTGATTTTAGTCAAATTCTAGGTATAACTTCCCTTTTGTTTTAAAAAAAAATGTGTATATATAAAAATATTCATATATATGTATATGTACATATATGTTCTGACAGTTACTTTCTGAACCGCAGCTAGTATCGTCATCCACTATTTATACTGTACTTGCTTCCAACAAGCAGGCAGAAATTTCAGAATTAAACAGACTTTCGGTGTAGAAATTGGTAATAAACTTCAGGAAGGTCCACCTGGAACAGCTGGAAGGACTGGATCTTTTTTGTGGGATATTGCCTGTACCTCAGGTTTCAGCTCTGTACCAGGCCATGCATGTCCATAAGGAAAACGTTGCTGATCATGACGCAGCAGGTGCTGGCTTATTTGGTGTTGCTGCTGGCATGCATATCCTCCAAACGGGAAAGGAGAAACGGTTTGGCACACAGCCTTGAAAAGTTGCTGCTGCCGATGTTTAAGGAAAAGGGGTGATATCCTGAAGTTTGAAGGATTTGTGCTTAGGACAGAAGGTACAAGAACAAGAGGAGCAAATGACAGCAGTTGGCTGAAGAAGACAGGCAGGCAGCTTGCAAGCTGAAATATGGCCTGGGCCTGGCAAGAGGCCCACAGAGGTCAGATGAGGAAGACGCAGCGTGGAGGGAGAAAGTTGCTATGAGGTTCTGATTAAAACCCAGTTATTCTGGTCTATTGGCCTGTCTTCTAGCAGCTATGAACTTAAGAACTTCTGGCTTCAGATTTTTGAGGATTGTTTAAAGTATTTGCTAACAATTTTCTGTTACACTCGTGCATTTTGGGTGTTACTGGGCTCTCTTGAAACCTAGCGCCTTTTAAACAGACTTTCGGTGTAGAAATTGGTAATAGACTTCAGGAAGGTCCAAGCCTTTTAAGGCTTGTCCCTGAACTAACACTCTGTGGACTGTGCATCAAAGGACTCTGCAACAGTATGGCTTTATAAATCTGGGAGTGTGGAAATTTTAAACAG